CCTTCCGTCCTTCCTTCCTTCCTTCCTTCCTTCCTTCCTTCCTTCCTTCCTTCCCTCCCTCCCTCCCTCCCTCCCTCCCTCCTTCACGAACCCCTGCGCACCCTCCCCGACCTGCGCCACACCCTTGCACACCCTCCCTGTCCCGCGCTGCACTGCCACGCACCTTCCCCAACCAACACCCTCACACACCCTTGCTGACCTCATGCACCCTTCTTGACCCTCACTGCACCTCTCAGACACGCTCTCACACCCTCTCTGACCCACACTGCAGCATTCCTTCCCCCACCCAGCAGCAGCCACTTGCCTGCCTGCTGGTCTTGGACTTGTAACTTTTTGCCAGCTTTCTCACTGACTTTGCTTGTGGAAAGCTGGCAGGGAGTGTCGGCAATCACGATCGAGTTTAGACTTCCTGCTGGCTTCCCTACTGACTTGTGGGAACCCATCAGGGAGTGTTAGAAATGATCATGTGACTGCGGCTGACTGCGGCAGCACGGTGGTGCTGAAGCGGCCACAACTTTGCCAAATTTCAATCCCACAGGAATAACAGTGCTGGATTTTGGACACATTCTGTAAATTAGCCCATTTGAGGTGCCTTGGTTCAAAAATTGTTGCTGTATGGCGCACTGTTTCGCCCAATTGAAGGTTACAGACAGACAGACGTGAGAGTTTTAGTAGTACCATATATAGATAGCGAAACATTTAGATTTAAAAATTTATTACTTATTTTGTAGTCACATTTCAATAGTGCCCCATTTCCAAACAACTCAAGGCAGTTTACAAAGAAGTAAAACCATCATAATAATGATATGACCAAACGCTTAACAGTGTAGTCAGCTGCATCATTCTCACTAAAAGTCCAATATGGTTCGGCCTCCTCCTTAACTGCAGGGAGGGGGCCCACAAACTCCAGTCTACAATAAAGGCCACACCATAGAAAAAGCAGGTTTTTCAATTAACATTTAATGTATTTTGGTGGGATTTGCAAAAGGTGTTTCATTGGGGAGCTAAGAATGTTTTTCCTGAGTTTAACCACTATCTGGAAAAGAGGTTTGGCAAAGAAAAATGCTCTCTGCCCCATCTATTGCTTCTTCCCACAGTTCTTTATAGGTTATTGATCTCATAGCAATAAAAGAAATGTGCACATTTGCAATTCTGCCAGTATTATAGCTCCAGGATACATCAGGTTTTAATCTGAATGTGCCTGTTTGCCTAAAATAAATCATCTTGCTCACAAAAAATCCACCTTTTGATGATTTTGATGAGTTAAGATATTTTGATCTTTACTGTGTATCTGTATTAAAAAATGTTAAATGCAAAGGATGGCAGAACTATCAAGCCTACAACATATTTGTAGTTGTCACTGTGTACACTAGTGGTAGCTACAGTGGTTATTACAGATACGGGTTCTTCATCTGATACACTGAAATAATTGTTTCCCCACTTCTCTTCAGTTTTATTCCTTCTAACGCTATCCACTTGTCAACCATCCTTCTTTCATGATGTTATTATCTCCAGTGAGCTTTCTTCATTGTCTTTAGCCAAACGTGTCTGAGGTCTTAATCTCATTAAATCTCTTTGTTTTTGCAGCAAGTGGGGATAGACAGAGGAGACATACCAGATCTTTCTCAGGTAGATGATTAATTATTGTCTTGGTTGTGCATGTCCATCTTGAGTTGTCATAATCAAAAGCCTTTGGTGTAATTTCAAATATATTTATTGTCACCATATGTATAGGATGGAGAATTTTTTTTAATACAAAAGCAGGGGGACTCACATCTGCAGTTTTACCCATGGTTGAACTTTTACATAGACTACTTTTAGGTTTTTCATGGTTGATCTTTGTGGGGTGGGTTGATATTATGAGTTTTTATTCTCAGGTGCCATTTTCCCCCTTTGGTTTATGTGTTGTGGATTTAAGTTATTGATATTTTTGTTTTATTTTTAAACCTTTGTTGCCACATAGAGTCGTTGTGGTGAGAGGGGTGGGGATTTATTTATTTATTTACCTTAAAATGCTTTGTTCTTGAATGTAAAATCATCTTATTTTGAATTTTTGTATTAAGCTAAAAAACCTCAGTATGTGATTGCCATGCACCAAATAAGATAACCAAGATTTATAGTAATTAATATATTTATTTGGCTTAAAATAGTAATTGCTTTTAAGTTGTATTCCTTGGAATGTGGAATAACTGCCCACTCTTAAATGTGCCATTTGCTTTTTTCTTAAATTTACGATGGCTTTTTAACCCTGTCTGACAATATAATGGAATCCTACATGCTATTTAATACATTTTGGTCATGCTGCAGTAAAGAGCTACTTATTGAATTAGCTGCTAATCATTGGAGGGTGATGATGATGGTACCAATTTATATAGCTGCCCATCTTGCAATTGCAACTAGGCAGCAAATATAGGGTTACAAAACAACCAATAAATAATCCTGCAGATTATGTTTTTTTATGGTTTTCAGTGGTTTTTCTTGCTTTTAATGTTTTTGCATGATTTTTGTTACGTTTTGGGTTGTTTCATATTGTTTTTAAGTTTTTAATTTTGTACACCGCCCAGAGTCGCATATGATAGACAGGCGGCTATATAAACTTACCAAATAAATAAAATAATAGCATCCAAGGACAAACCCAACTCAAACCATAAAAAAAAGGACAGAATCACATTGACGGGCTGGTCAACCACCAGACCCATGCCCCAGGGAATAGACTTGAGGTTGGGAAGGTTGGCATTAAATCTTTTGGATTTTCTAACAGATTGCTGAATTGTTTTGTAGGCACCGAGTAGTCTCCTGGATGCTTTAGAACAGCACTTGGCCTCCTTGGAAGGAAAGAAAATCAAAGATTCCACTGCAGCTAGCAGGCACGTTTCAGATACTCTTTGTAGCCAACTGGGCATTGGGTAGCACACACGCTTCCTCAGATGTGCTTTGAATATTTTGATGACTGTTGTAGCCAGTTCCTTTGCCTGACAAAATTTGGCACAAGCTGCTCTGCTTGCAACAGCAAATAGGAAGTGATATGCAACACTCTCTTATGGGGCAAGACCAATCTGAGCCCTTGTATTTGTGCATATAAAGAGGTTTTGTGGTCATCGTAGACATGAAACTCTGAAATGGTACAGTCTAGAAAAAGCTTGTGTACTTGAATCTGTAGGAGCATGGTGGCTGTAGTTTTCTGTGGTGCGGTGTTGCTTCTGTATCTGTAGAGATCCTTCTGACCTTTAATATTTTATTTCTTACAAAAAGGTGGCTGAACAAAGATGAAATTGCTAATGGCATGCTAGTGCTGAGTACTACTTTTCCCTCTAAAACATTGGGAAATCCCTCTAAAATCCCTCTAAAACAGTGTGGAATTTTGTATCTGCTTATTTCTGCAATTGAGTAATTCTTCCTGAAGAGAAGATTCAGTGAATTTTGCAGGGAATAAGCTCTGGCTGAACCTATTCTTCAGTTACTTCCTTGTCAAATAAACATTTAGCATTTCTTTGCTTCTGTGACATGGGATAATCACTGTTTCAGAGTCTTTATTGCTGATTATTTTACTAAACTCCTGATACAAGCTTATACAAGACGTCCATACCTTACAAACCAAACTTGGAGTGATACAGTTTTTATCTTTCTGATTTTGCCTTTGGCAATACTGGAGCCAAAATAGTTAATTAAAAACATTCCTAGGAAAAGGGGAAGGGAAGGGGAGGAGGAGGAGGAAGAGGAGGAAAAGAAAAAAAAAAGATTAATAGTTTCTGTTTACTCTAGGAGAAGGTGGCTCCCATGGGGATTATCATTTTATTCCCAACAGCAATAATCTGGGATAGGTTTGGCTGAGAGCAACTGGCCTGAAGTCACCCAGTCAATGTTCATGGTTCAAGGTGGACAAGAACCTGGTCTCCCCAGGCATATGCCAACACCTTAACTACTATACAAGCCAAACAAAACAAGATTAAACTTGATACCATATCAAGTTCTCAAGGCTGGACTGGTGATGTTTAATCCCTCTGAAGCCTCATATTATCCTGAGTAGCTTGGTTAAAGCCATGCCTGTGGACCATGCTACATTGGGAACGAACAAAGTCTAATAAATAGGTGGTGTATTAAACTAATATAAAATGTAGTGAATCTTCAGTGCTAGCTTTGGGTTGAAGCAAATATTAATAAATGTATCATTCGTCGCTTCTTACATAGTCTTTAAAAGAAAAGATCTCCAGGAGTATAAATCAGGCAGAGGAACCACTAATTTCTAGGCTACGTCCATCTGCCCACAAAAGGGAAGTTTCTATTTTAAATGCTGAATAAACAAAGTACAATAGAATCCCTTTTCTTGACTATATAACAGTTGGTTTCCTACTGTCGCATTTTCCTAGGGCTACCACACTTTCCAATGCAGTTTCTTCCCTTGCAAGTACTGGCCTGTCTCTCACCAAAGTTGATGAAAGGGAAAAACAAGCTGCGCTAGAGGAAGAACAGGCCCGTTTAAAAGCTCTAAAGGTTGGTGTGATTTTCTTCCTTTAGACCAGTGTTTCTCAGCCTTGCAACTTTAAGATGCGTGGACTTCAATTCCCAGAATTCCCCAGCCACCATGCATTGGTGTCCAAGCATCTTAAAGTTGCCATGGTTGAGAAACACTGCTTTAGATCGATTTCTGTACATACGATGTCCCTTGGTTTGCAGGGGTGAAAGATGAAAAACGGGCTGGATGGATACCTTTTCAAGCTGCGGAACCAATTTTTTTAAAAAAATTCCCAGGACACTTGATCAAGGGGCAAAACTCTAGTGATAGAAAACTGGCTGCATTCTCCCCCTTAGTTTCTCATGAATCTGCATGAAGTACGCTTTGAAAAACCCTGCTCTCCATGATTGGGACTTCAATTTCCATCATCCCCAAATAGCTCATAGCAAGGGAATACGTGAGAGGTAGTCCAGAATTCTCGTGGCCAGAACACAGAAGCCCATTTACTACAAACAACAAATAGCTTACTGCCGATAATAAAGCAGTATTTAGAACTGTCAGTTTGTAGTAGCCTGAGAAATGGAAAGCAGGGTTACCCCACCAGCAATACTAAGACCCTCTCTCTTTGATTTTCCCCTTTCCCTATACTGTATCCACACCAGCTAATCATGATAAAGAATTTTGTAGTATTAAGAACTGATGTCTGAATTTATGTTCTTCTTCTCTCCCCATCACTAGGGAGTGAAGAAGAGGAGGGAGAACAGCAGGGCAACTGGGATTGCCAACTGACCAGTTGAGCAGTACAATCTTAAGTTTCTTTATTAATTCCCCACACATCTCAGTGGGGTTTACTCATTGCAAGCAGCCCACGCAGGAGTTGGGCTATGGGTGTGGGCACATGGGAAGACAGAAGAGGGGAGGGCAACTAGTGGCCGCCTGCATAGAATACTTACTCATGCTGGTGATGTAGTGAGATGGCAGGGGCAGTGCTGAGGTGGGAGTGGATGGGTGAGCGCGTTCGAGTTCTCCCCCCCCTGTTCCTTGTGGAGGGGTTTTTTCCTGTTAGCCCCTTGCAGAGAGGTGGGTTTTTTCCCCTTAGTCCCTTGCAGAAAGTTTTGTGCCCCCACCTTAGTCCCTTGCAGAGAGATTTTTTGTTTTTCTATTAGTTCTGTAGAACCCATTCAAGTTCCCAAGAACTCAGTTTGAAAAACCCCATACCAGTGGATAAGGTGAGTTATTCTCAATGTTTTGTTTTGTTTTGTTTATTAAATTTATATGCCACCCATCTCGCCCAGAGAATGACTCTGGGCGGCTCACAGTGAAAATCTAAAACAGTGAAAACAATGAAAATATAAATATCCATATTAAAATTAGCTAATACCAATACTATATAGAAAGGCTGTATACAATTCAAGATGATGGGGGGGAGCAGTACCGATTACCCCACCAGCCAATTCCAACAATGCGAGCCCCCATCAGGCCCCCAGGCCACCTGGCGTAGCCATGTTTTCACACTTTTCTGGAAGGCCAGGAGAGTGGGGGCGGACCGCACCTCAGGTGGCAAGCTGTTCCACAGGGCAGGGGCCATGGCAGAAAAGGCCCTCTTCCTAGACCCTGCCAGCCAAAGTACCTTGACTGGTGGGGTCTGCAACGTGCCCCTTCTGCCAGACCGAGTGGGGCAGGCTGATATAACGGGGGCGAGACGGCTCCTCAGATAACCTGTTAAATGTATTCAGGAACAGCTGTGTGAAATTGGGAAGTGATATGTAAATACCGCAGTATTTATAATATCCAGTTCAGACCCATAGTTTGAAACTAGTGATCTGCAAAATGTTTAGCAACAAACTGTTTCAAGTGTGAACGTTCAAAAGCCTTTTGAAGTATATCAGCTTCTGTTTTGAGCTTGAGACAGCTTGTTTCCCACTGGAAAATGTTTTGCACACTCCTGTTTGAAACCATAAGAGTTTCATGGGCAAGGTTATTTTAAACCAGTATAGAACAGCAATAATGTATGCTTGAATACTATTTTTACTTGTCTCCTGGGGAGTTTTAACAGGGTTTTGTTTCTAGTGGTCAAAGGCAGTTGTTTAGTCCTTTGCTTATTTCATGTATTGTTGAAGTAAAAAGTGACTTGTTCTTAGAAGTGGTGGAAAGGAAGTCTCCTGATTTCTTGTGCTGGTTTTATTCTTCCAATAGGAGCAGCGTCTAAAAGAACTTGCAAAGAAACCCCATACATCTTTAACCACAGCCTCCTCCCCTGTGTCTAATAGTGCAGGAAGTATAATGACTACACCAGTTATTGACATTTTTTCCACACCCAGTTCTTCAAACAGGTATTTGCTTTCATTATTATTTTCAAATGCGCTTGAACACCCAATATGAGAAGAGAAGGCATACAATGTGCAACATGGAAATACAATCCAGAATAAAATGGATAAATAAAAGAGCAAGAGAATTTAATGAGAATAGTACCTGCAGCAGGGAATAATAGCTATAAAGCAGAGAATAAAAGAATTTATAGCGGATTATATAAAAAGATTCAGAAGAGGTGTTTCGTGAAGTGTTAATTTGAGTGAAGTACCACTCTTTCTAGTGTCAAAGCAGCAGTGACCTTTACAAGGTTTCTATGGCTGCTTTGAAGGTATTGTCCAGTTGTTTGTAATGTGGGCAAATTCTGTGTCATGCATATTGAGACAACTAGAGATAGCTTTCTAAGCAGCTACTTTAAGTATTCTCTTTGAAATATTAAAATAGCTGCATCCTTGCAAGGCTGATGTTTCAAAGAAGGAGTACTTAATTGTCACAACACAGCTCTAACGAAAACATAAAAGTGGATGCCAGATGAACTTCTCAGTGGAGACTATTCTGCTGTCCGAATACCAACATTAAAATAAGCTTTTGGTATGATTAGGTAGAGATGTGCAAAACTTAAAACATTTTCAGAACATTTAGTTATGAAAAACTGCCTGACTACCCCAGAATGGATAGTTAAGCATGGTCTGAAGGAAAAACAGAATATTCTGGTGTTCCTTAGATAGTCCCATCCCCAAAATGATAAATTTTGCACATCCCTATCAGCGGAATAACACACAGGAGGAGTAGCAAGTATTTAAGTAATCCAACATTAAACCATTCAAGGTTTTGGAATTACTTTGAATGTGGGCTGGTGTCTTTTCTGCTAAAGTAGTTTGTAATATTTTACTGTGCAAGACATGCATAATTTATCTGGAAGGACATTCACCACTTCCTGATTGTAAGTATTCTCAGTACAGTATATCAGAGCTACGCACTACAATATAATATGGATTTATTGGCCCAATTGGAAAGAGGGAATGTCTGTTCCCAAATGTTCATTAAATCCAAAAGTATATAATTCTTCTCACATAGATGTTAAGCACCTCATCAGAACTCTTCAGAAACAGTAAACTAGTCAGTTATTTCGGGGGGGGGGGTCATGATAGAAATATTGCCCTCTGCATCTGAAGTCCACATATTGGGGGGAGGTTACTGTTTGTATATATAACCTACCCATCACACCTAGATATAAACATATAAATAACAGTTGTATGCAGTTAGAGACAGTTTTTAATGTAGCATTGTAACTTAATTGCTAGCTGAATATTCACATGCAAAGCTATTTTTTTTCCAATTCTAGCCCTGTTGTATTCAAATTAGGTGTCATAGCTTAAAATAAACTATTTCTGAACAAACAAGCAAAACATTCCTGAGTTGTTGCTGGCTTATGTAGCAGACTGACCAATGTCTATAACATCATGAATTGGAATTAGAAGTACAATACATAAGACCTCCCTTTCTTCATTCAACCCCTATACATTATTCAGTATGCATTTGTGAAAAACAAGAACTTAAACTCCACAACCAGTTCTGTGAGACCAAAAAGAGGTCATAATGGTCCTGTTTCTCCAGCACCATCCTCACCCCTGTAGTACATTGCAGAAAGATGTTTTGGACCTGGAGGGGATACTAAGATACTGTTTTGAAATGTAGCACTGTGGGGCAAAGTCTCCTTTGGGCATAGCAACCTCCTTGAATTTGCATGAACTGCCTCTTTAAATTCTGATTTTGGTTTCCCAGGAGGTGAATTCTGTATCCATGCCCCAGTCTGGATGTCTTCATGGAGGCTGTTTTGAAGAGCTTTTTAAATGAAACAATGGCACTGTTGCTTAAATATTTATGATGCTCTTATATGTTTTATTGTTTCTGTAGTACATCAAAGCTGCCAAATGACTTGCTTGATTTACAGCCAGCTTTTCATCCAGCTGTGCATCCAATGTCCTCTGCACCACAAGTGGGAGGGACCTGGGGAGGTAAGAGATTTTGTTGTGATTATTACATAGCCGCTCCTACTATCACTACAATTTCACAATCCCTGCTATGTTTTGTTGATTAATTATTTTGATATTTCTAAAGGTATTGATCACATAATTCTTTAAATCTTAAAATTTCAAGGATCAGAGCAAGTTGTGGTTTGAATTTCTATCACACTTATTATATTGCTATTTATTTTATTGCGCTGCTGTGTTGTATATTATAAGTCTCGAATGATGTACATAATCAGCTGATTTGCCTCTGTTCTCTGAGCAATATTTGCAAAACACAGATGGGTTTTCAATAGCAGAGCAAACTGTATGGCTAATAAGAAAAGTAAAAACAAAGTAACGTCATGTCAGTTTATTTCCAGTCCTCCAAACTTGAGTGCTGTGAGTTCAGTTGAACTGGTGCTTTGGAAAGTGATAGACCTTATTAGCCAGGATTAAGTGGAAACTGGGTAGCCCACACTCAGGAATATGTATATAGGTATTTAGATATCTAAATTTATAGATAAAAATTTGAGGGGTTGTCTGTCAGACTCAAGACAATTTTAAAATAATTTAAGAGAAAGGTATGTAAGATACAAGTTATGTGTCATTGTTAAGGAAGACTTGCTTCGTGAATTACAATTCTATTTTAAGAGATAGAAGTGGTATGATATCTTCCTTCCTCCATCTTTTCCCTCTCTCTTTCCCACTAATGATCAGTCTTTACTTTTGCATCAAATCAGAGGGAGTAAGTTTAATGCATGAACTGTCAAGTTGACTTTAACAAAAGTAATAGGAATGCTGAATCTGGTCTCAGTCTATGGGTAGAAAAAAGACGATTTGTAGAAACGCTTTGAAGTTAAAACAGGAACTTGCTTATACTATATAAAGGTGCACATGAACAAAAAATAGTTCTGAATTTAGGACAGAATAATCCAATTCAAACCAATCCTTCAGATCATTTTGATTGTTTTGACAAATAAAGCTTGAAATGTTAATATTGTGCCATAAGGATGAATAGGAACTTGAAGCAACCCTTGGCTGTATTTTGTGTTAAGGCCACAAATGTAACTGTGGTGCTGGCAGTCAGTTCCAAGTGCAACTTCCTACCTGTCATATAAAATAATTTCCCTTGAGGATGATAATTTTCTAAATGTATTTTGCAGTGAAGACTATTAAAAGCACGCTTATTTCTGCTTAATTATTCACAGTTTTATTTATTTTTTAAACAATCTCTTTCACATTTTGTTTTAGGCTGAAATATTCATTATATTGTTCCAATCTTGAAAAGCTTAGAATAACTGATTTTGAGATCAGAATATTTTACATATCTCCGAAACCTAAATTATACTGTTGGTCCAATTATATTTCATATTGTATCCACTGACAAGAAGCAAGTCTTCAGGGATTCTGATAACAGTACTGTCCCACCATCATCCTGTCTAGGAGCAGATGGATAATACACAAGAAGCTGAAATACAGAAGTTCAGTTGGCTCCTAGATTTTAGACTTTCTTTTTTTAGATGGTCTTTCAGGAACGATGATTACCTTTTTAAGATCTATTAAGACCACCGAAGTATTCAATCTTTTTATCTTAAAAAATAGGGATGAAATTATATTAAAAATGAATGGGAACATGTAGTTGGGAGATTTAGTTGCCAAACAAGTTACAGAAGTGTTTGATTCTTTCAAAATTCAATGTTAGGATACTTCTGGCAGGCTCTCTATTCTCCATTAATTCATATGGAACACTTTCAGCCACCCTTGGAATTTGTTATTCGTGAAACCATTTGATGTAGACATATTATGTCCCATATGTATCTGTTTGTTGCATTTGTCTTTCCCTCAGGAGTTTAAAGTGACATTCATAGTACTTCCCAACTAATAAAGGACTCAGGTAGCTCTTCTTCAATGCTTTTCCAGGAAAATGTTAAAAGCTTGCCTCATTAGATGTGCAGTGAACACAATAAGCCACTGTAAAAAAGTAAGATTATCTGCAAGCATACGGTCTTGAACACGAACTAGATTATTGTTGTAGCTTGCCAAGGTTTAAAAATAAGAAAAAAAAACTATAAACAACTATAAACATCATGAGAGGATGCTTCTGTTTTGTATTTGCTGCTTTGCTGTATGTCAGGGGAATGGTGGAAGGTAGAGACAATATTAAAAGCTGCTTACATTAGGATTTCATTTCCTCTTTAATCTTTTAATACTTCTCCTATCTTCTTTTTTCCTAAATAATAATGCAGTTATTTGTCCTGCTTGTTTTTTTTCCATCTGATCTGCCTCTTACATTGCAATGAGACTGTTATGCACTTTCTTTTAAGCCGTAGTATATTATATGGTGTGATTCAAAGTAAGCATGTTTCTATGGTAGCTGTTCATTGGGAGGGGAGGGGCCTGAAGCAGAATTCCTCCCCCTGTTTTGGGTGGTTTTAGTAGCCAAAGCAGCACCCTTTCTGAAACTGTAAGTACATGGAAGAAAATCGACATGAAGGCCATAATTATTGTTCTGAGTGTTTTCCCAGAGAAGATGATAAGCCACATTAAGGTTTTACTCAACCTGTCATTTGATACACATGTTCAGGTTTAGCCTCTATCACCCTGATGCCTTCTAGATACATTATGCATCTATCCCATAATCCTGTGCTAGAATAGACCTATGATTATGCTAACTGAAGATTATGGGAGTTGAAGCCCAACTCATCTGGAGAGCAAGAATTTGGGGAAAGCTATGCAGCCTTTTTGGAGAAAGCTGACTTTGGCCTTGAAGTAGCATGTTGAAGAAGTGGAGAAGCCCTAGACCAAAAATAGATTTTATTTAAATTAATTTTAAATTAGTTAAATGCATTTAATATGATTACTCCCTTTGTTCCCTCTATCGTGTTGAAAGTATAATTCAACAGCAGCTTCTGATGGAGCTCTGGGTTCCTTAGCCCCCACCTTAGAAGGGTCACAGGCAGCCTTGGAATCTTCATTTCTGCTCTGAGGCCATGATTGGTCCTATTTTGAACAGAGGAGTTTGGATGCTCTGCAGCATTGACTCCTGGAACTCAGAACTGGCAATATTCTGAAATTCTTTTCTCCCCAGTGAGAGGTGCAGGAGCCTTTCATAAAGTTCTCCTTCCTTGCTTAGCTTGGCACACCCGCTAACCTCAGAAATAAAAAGGTGAGGTTAGAAATATTTGCTAGATGGCATTAGAGGGTCCCTGTTCGCATATTGGTTCATACAGGAGAAAGCTAAAGACAAGTATCTTTTCACAACTTGAGGCTTGGTTTTCCGTTACCTGCATTTAGTCTCCATATTGAACTGAGAAAACTGACCTCTGCCTTGGGATTTAAAAATGCTACAAAGAGGCTTTTACTTTTTGTGGACACTTAGTCTGCTTTGATGTTGTTATTTTTTTGGTAAACCATCATAAGTATCATAATATTATACTGTGAGCCACTCAGAAAGTTAGGAGGTGGAGGCACATGAATGAATGAATGAATGAATGAATGAATGAATGAATGAATGAATGAATGACGTCTGTGGGATTCAGATACAAAGCCCATAAGGATCAGAACGAGGTCTTGATTTGCTTGCTCCTAATCTCAAAAAATATGTCAGGGTTCTCTGTTAGTTGCCGTGTAAGGTATTTGAAAGAGGTAATGTTAAAAAA